TTAGGGTTTAGGGGTTTAGGGGTTTCCGGTTTAGGGGTTTAGGGTTTAGGGGTTTAGGGGTTTAGGGTTTAGGGGTTAGGAGTTTAGGGTTTAGGGTTCAGGGTTTAGGGTGTCTTCCTGCGAGGGGCTGAGTATCCATGCGCCGATGGCGCCACCCCACTTCCAGGGATCTGTGGGTGGCGGCGCATCTTGCGCCCAGCGACCCAAGTACGATGTCGTTAAAGAATCCATTGCAACTGGGATTTCTTCAATTTTTCCCACCCGCTGTGAGAAGTCACAGGCTACCACCCAAATTACTTCCTGTTAGGGTTTAGGGCTGTGCCCTCAATTCCCACCTCATGATGCAACGCCTCTTGGCAGGGCATGGAAGGGGTTTGCGGGTTTGTGGTGGGGTGGGGCAGGGGAGGGCAGGGCAACAGCAGGAACCATGCAAGGCCAACAAGGCAAGGAGAGGCAGGCTGGCAGGCAGCCAAGGCGGGCAACAGGGGGGCTCAGGGGGGCCAGGCAGGCCTGAGAAAGAGGGAGGGGCCAGGTGCGCTGCAGTAAGTGTTCTTCTTTTCTGGGGCGGCCACCATAGCGCGTCTTTTTAGGGCTTAAAACCGACAGTTTAGGGTGTTCTCCCATCAAAGGCAAAATGTCAATTCGTCCATAGGCTCCTCCCATTGTCTTGCCCGGCGGGTGACGGGTTTCTTCAGTGTCTGACCACCCGAGTAATGGCTGGGAACGGCCCGAGCAGGCCGGGTGGGAATTTAGGGGTGTAGGGTTTGGGGTTTAGGGTTTCTTCGCACACAAACAGATGTCGAAGGAGCAGCCGCGCAGACACCCCAACATCGGCTTCGGAGCACGCTAGAAGCGGTTGAGTTCAGGGGCCGGTTTCGATAACCTCGCGTGACGCCATCTGCAGGCTCTGCCGCAGAGGGCTCGAAAGCTTGCAAGTGCTCGGACTGCTCACGTCCCAACCTTTCTCCGCACAATGGTCCCACAACCACAGACACCTCCAACGCGGAGAACCTTGCTGCTCGTGGCATGGGTGCGGTTTACGCACCCGGACAGGATCAGGTGTGAATGCAATTTTTTTCATTTCATATTAAGTCGTAGGCTGAACGACCTCCCCCCCCCCATCCGTATTGTTTTGAAGGATGAAGCTCTTCTATCTGAGCGGGCGAGAGGTGGTCGAGCTGAATTTTCGCCGATACGTGCAACTGCGGCACATATTCAGGATGGCGTACAGAGCCGCGTGGAGACAGCACGGCCTCCAACCAGGGGATGCGCTGCGCATCATCTGCAGCAAGACGGGCCGGTCTTTGGGTGACTTTCACCCGGGCATGTACGTTTGACTCACTGCCCGCTATCGCGGGCAGCGGCTCTGGCGGGGAGTGCGCCGCGCTGGCCAATCGCCCTCCCGCGCCGTTGAGTGCGGCTCCCACCCTTAGCCAGCTCCGCCTTTTAGGGTTTAGTTTCCTAAACTCCGGTTTAGGAAACACTGGCATGGCTCTTCTTTGTTTTTTTTGGAGGTCTGGCAGCGAGTTGAGCACCCCTGGCTTCACTGGAAGTCCGTCGAGTACAAGGCACCGCTCCTTGTGCTGCATGCTTCTGTGACTAGTTGAAATAGCATGAGGCCGGCTGGACGAGCAGCAAGGGCGCTTCCCTCGAAGAGAAACAAGCCCGAAAGGAAGCCAAACAGGAGGCGCGGGAGAAGAAAATGCGGCTAAAAGCGGCTGCCCGGGCAAAAAAAGAAGAGCGAGAAAAAGAAGCAGCCAAAGCTGCCGCAGCCTTGGAGGCATGGTCCGCATGCGACCAATTCGGCGTCCGAGACGCGTGCTGCGCCCCACCAGGCCAAGCGCCGCAAGAAAGAGAAGGAAAATACGAAGAAGAAAGAGGCGCGTGCTAAGCTGAAGCAGGAAGAGAAAGGAGCATGCGCACGCACGACTTCACACCACGTGACGGTCCACATGCTAGCGCGCCAAATTTTCAAACCCGCAGGCCGCCGCCACCAAACTTGCGGAGCTGCGTCACAACGACACGGCCCGCAAGCGGGAGTACCGGCGCAAGGCCAAAGCCAAGGCAGCAGCGGCCAA